TCGTGAAAATCTCAAAGTTTCAAATTTATGGAAATGTCGATGAAATATATTTTATTTTTTAAAATAAATCTAAAATTATTGTTATTAATATTATGTGTATATTAATGTACTCTGTCGAATTCTTTTGAGTGTTTGGGCATGCAACCACTGGAATGCATAAATTTTTAATTCTCAAACCAAATTTTTAATTTTGTCTCAAATGTATTAAGAATTCTCTATAAATCATGTCATAAAAAGGAAATTTGGTTACAAAAAATTTGGTTACAAAAAAGTTGATGTATTGTTAAATTATTGATTTATTGACATAATTTTACACGTGGGTATGCCACTTAGACGTGGTATTCGGAAGAAATGAATTTTGTTGATGGTGGAGTTGAATTTTATTTAAGGGAGAGTTAGGTTTCTTATGTCAAATTCATCCGACAAAATGTACACATGTCCAAATATTTTAATATAACATTAATTTAAGAATATATCAACTTTCAGTTAACAATATTTTTACAAAATGGCTTAATCGAAAATTTTAATACATAAAAAATAAAGTTTAGAGCTTTAAAAGATTAACAACCCAATTATTTAAAAGATTGGAGACTGTTTTACATGTTTAGCTAAAGTTCATTTGAACTCAGAACATGAAGTCATCATTTCCATTATTTTATTATTTTTCTTCTCCTTGGAAATATAGTATTATAAATGTGGGAGGAAGAATTAAAAAACTTTCTAACAAGTTATTAATGTGAATTGTTATGGTTTTTAATACAAAAAATGAACTTTATAAATACTACTTTCACTCGGATATTTTATTCGTTTTGCTACATGTATTCTAGAAATATTTTCAAAAAATAAAGTAAATTTTGAAAACTAAAAAATATAATTTTAAAAAACTTGTTTTCTTTTTTTTTTAAATTCGATTAAAAATTAAGTGATTTTAAGAAATGTGAAAGAAAAACAAAAAAAAATTGTAAACCAAACAAGTATAATTTGAAAATAAAAATCTAAAAACTAAAAAGAAATAGCTAGTTATCCAACAAGACCTTAGTGGTGCTTGCTTGACCTATTATTTTGTTGTCATATAATATTTTTTACAATTTATTTACTTAAAAAATTTATTTGAGTTTTTTCTTAAATAATTTATTTGATACACGTTTCATCACATTTGGATTCTGAAGATTTGAGGGTTTTATTTTGAAATAAAGATATAATTGAACATAGAGATCTAAATGTGGGAGGAAAATATTAAATCATTGGACTTTTGACAATTAAGATATCACCGGTGGATTTTCTTATAATTAAAGTATAAAAAAGATAAAATTGGCTCAATTAATTATTATAATGAATGATTGGCCTATAAATAGGAAGAATTATTGGTTACGTTCCCTTTCTTTATTTATTTTATTTTTTCATGGCATGAAGGCATGCCCTATAATAATATTATTAGAATTATTAAAAACTGATGGACGGATATAAAAGCCGATTGATAATAAAATATAATGTCTCTTAACAATTTTAATAGTTATTAAGAAGGAATAAACCACCACTCAATTTGTTTGGGGAAGGGAATACTCGGGACACGTGGAAGACCCCTATTGGTGCTCCAAGATGACTCATGAATCATGCCCAGCTCGGAAGGCCGAGATGGCCGCCACCAACGCCGACAAATGCCAAGTGTGAGGGCCGAGGTGAGCCTGGCTCAGGTCCGACCCACCGGGGAGCTCGATATGGGCCGAGATGCGCAACTGTCTGCGGCGTGATTATCGGGCGTAACCGTCKGTCCCGAGATTACCGGATGTAACCGACGGTCCCGAGATTACCAAATGTAACAGTCGCTAGATTAGCGGGACCAYCACCCATAAGTAGGGGACCTCACTCCCCGATCAGGTACGATGATTTCTGGCTTCGAACTAGACTTGGAATCCGACCTATACTGACTTGATCGTCGGAGTGCTCACCTTTTTGTGCAGGTCCGCCCAAGTGTTCAGGTCGGTCCGAAGGTCGGGTTCGAGCTACAACCAGGAACACACTGTTGTGCACATCTTTGCATAAATAAGTGGTATCTTGAAAGTATAAATAATAGGAAGAAAGAAGTAATTAAAAAAAAAAAATTTTATGCCAAGTAATTTAAAGAATTAAGATAATATTATAAATGACTTTTTTTTTTTTTTTGGTGAAATGGATATGTGTATTAAAATTGTGCCATATGGGCAACAATTGAAGGAAATCTCCCTTCAAAGCCACGTTGGGAAAGAAGAAAACCAAGCATTCTTGGCCAAAGAAAAAACTCTCAATTTTGCAAACGTTTGAGCGAGGTACGGAGATAGTCACCCCCGTCAACCAATTTAGTTCATCTCCGAGAGTAACGATTTTACCTCTAATTAGTCAGAGTCAGATTGTTTGAAGGGAGTCAGATTAAACCTATAGACGGGAGCAATTCAATGAACGGACAAATTTCGAACTTTCCAAAATTCCTCTCATTTCAGCAAGGAGAGGCGATAAAGGTTGAGGAATAAACACCGATTTTGTTGTTGTTAAACATCCAGATGAATCACGAAGAAAGAAAAACAGCTCAGTCGGAGCTTGTCGGCACACAACATCAACATTTAGCTTAAGGTGACTTCTAGATGGGGGCGTCTAGATCGATGGTTCTTATTGGAACAGGGTGTTGGAATGGTCCGAGAGGAACAAACGGCTTGAGCAGCAAATAATTCCGGGCATAAGAACTTATCCATTCGCATTTCGTTTCAACGTCAAAAATCGGGTTCCCATGGATCACATTGTTTCTATCATTCCCGTAAGTAAAATCTCGTATGACCCATTTTATTTATATACTTTATTTCTATAATAATATAGATTAACGTGACGTAAAATTCTCTAAAAACAAAACATGATGTAAAATTAATGGAAGACCGTACGAGTAGAAATTTTCTCGAGGTGCTCTACTATGTGGACGGAATAAAAGTCTAGTATTTTTTAAAATAAGTTGTAAATAATTAGTTGTTATTTTTATAATATGAAATAAAAAAAGAGTCTTTTATGCTATTTATAGGTTTTTAGTAAAAAATTATACAACTTTTATTAGATGAGATTTTATTATAAAATGTTACCAAAATGTTTACGACTTCATTCCACGTGTTTTTGTATTAAAAATAAAAAATAAAAAATATTTGCTATCAATAAAACAAATCAATATTTATAGTTTAAGAAATATTAACATACTTTTGTTGATATATTTGCAATTAGCTCCAAACATATTCAAGTAATTGGTGGAGAAAGTTTAAGAATAATGTAATTTAAAAAATAAATTAAAAAATAATATAGGTTTAAAAGTAATAACAAAATCAATTTAATATAAATTAAAAAAATTACAAAATTAAGTTATACATTCATGACAAAAAGAGGTTATGTGCTGGTCAAAATAAAAAATGGCATACAATGAATATGATTTAGGTGCTAACATGACATAGATGAGGTGGATCTTGAACGAGTGAGAGGAGAGTTAATAATGAACATTATAACCACTATTAAACAATTCTTATCCTAATATTACTTGACAAAGTAGTGTCTATAGTAGACAAAAATTATGCGATTACTATCCCAAGACGTGGCTTCCTTGAAGTCATGTCACACCAAAGTCACGGTGAATGACTGTGACTTCCATAAAATCTTCATCTTCGGTTCGATTTCGGCTTAACTCACGTTCAAAATTGTGATTTCATCTGAAATCGTAGTCATTGAATGCAATTTACCTGAAATCGCATTCAATGGTTGCGATTTCACTACCCTACTTTTGAAAATACTTTCAAACATACATTATATTATTTGTGTCATTTGTTTTTTAAAAAATATTTATTTAAAAAAAATCGGTAATTGTTATATAGATTATTTTACTAAACAATATTAGTGCTTCAAACAAAAATATTAATATGTTTTGATTGACTCCAAAACGTTTACAATAAACCATGTCAGAGAGATAATATTCTCGACTTTAATTTTGAGCCATTATCATTCCAATTATTCTGGTCAGCAAAGTGGGCTTAAAATTAAAATTAAAGAAGAAAAAAGAAATAATTGAATTAGAAAAAAAAAACCGAACTTCTTGACATTTCAAAAATACTCACAATTTAATGATTTAATTATTACCCTTGACCTGTTATAGATTTTTCAAAAATATGTTTTGAATTGAAAAATACATTTTGAATAAACCTTCGTTAATATTTGAACGAATGTGACTATTTGTACCGAAAAATATTGATAGTCACGATAAATCCTTGAGAACACTCCAAGATAAGGAAATCTGCAAGAACAAGTTAGCATTCTGACGAATTTGTTAGTCTTTATGCTAAATGATAATTGACAAGTAAAAATTAATCTGTTTTTGCTTATCGTCGTCTTAGTTCAACTGATATTTATAGTGGATAAAAAAGTAACCGTTGGAATGAGAAGGAGCCTCCCATTTGAATTATGCGGTTTATTTTTCATGAAAATGAGAAACCACGCACTTAGTGGGGGAAACTGTTTGCACACCACCTGGATGGAAATTTGAGACGAATTCTACATGATGGACGCCCGGTTCAGTCTTGGTCCAAACTAATTCTCCCCACATCCTTTCCTTTTTATTAAATTTAATGATGACGTGTCCACGAAATTAAGGGCCTGAACGATGAAGATCTTTTATATGTGAAAATTTGTCTAGAAAAATTAGTTGTTATTATAATAAATTTAACTTTTAAATGTATTATTCGTCATTATTTTTATCCAGTGAACATTTTTTTTATCGTCATTAAACATCAAATTTACTAGTGGGAGCTAATTATTTAAGTTAAAATTTTAACGTTGGTTCATATCTACCAGGTTAATCTTTTATTTAAAATATTAACCGATATTTACGGAAAGGGTATTTTTGAAACGTTGAAAAATTAGAATTTTTTTATAATTTAATCCCAACAGAATTCCCATCACTTTCTCGAGAACCCCGACTCGGAGAGAAAGGAGAAGAAAAACTCGGACCAAATGCCGCATAAACAACGCCGAGGCAAAAGGCATTGTTATCCGATGAAGATAAGGCCCAAACTCCGACGTTATCCACCGCCGTCGCTGCCGACTCACAAATCGCGTCTTGTTCACGCGTCTTCATTACGTGTAACTCTAACCATTTCTTCCCTTTCACCCTCCGCTTTCGCTTCATATTTATCTCAATCAATCAAATCCCCAAACCCCCTTTTCTATCTAGAGAGGAGAAGAAAAGTGAAACAAAGTAACCCAAAACGGGGGTTCAGTTTCGTCTTCAAGTTCCAAGTTCCAATTGGGTTTTCTTTTAGTTTTTCCTTTGTGGGTTCAACCAGTTTCTCCTCAAACAAACAAAAACTTCTGCTCTTATCCATCATCCACTTGCTGTTGACGGGCTTCGATCTCTCCAATCGCGGTACCCCACCCGCTGATTCATATGGTTTCGTAGTTTTTATCCATTTTCATCGCCTTTTCTAAAAGCGTTTCTGGGTCTTCTCTCACGACGTTGATAGGATTCTCCCCTTTTCGGGATTTGGAGATTTGGGATTTTTTTTGTTTCCTCGCTTTCTTGTGTTCTGAGCGAAGAATTATGGTGCGGCGGCAGCAAAGAGATCGGGAATCGAGTGTTTTCTACGAGCTTTCTGCTCTTGTTATGAATATTATCCGACCGCCTCCGTCGTCGGTCCATTTTTCCGATCACTCGCCGGCGGTGGTGTCCGTGTCGCAATCAAGACGGCCGATTCCGGCGCAGATAACTCCGGCGGGGTTCGCGTCGCTCCTTCTCGGGATTTCTCTGGCTCTGATGCTCTGTGGATCGGTTACGTTCTTCATCGGCTTCATGATGATGCCCTGGGTTATTGGGTTGGTGATGTTTTTCTACGTCGCCGCCGTTGTATCGAGCATCACCATGATCGGACGATCGATTTTCTGCTACGCGACGGCTCCACCCACGCCGAGAAAGGACATTTCAGGTACGGTGGCTCTTCTGATGAGTTTCTCATGAATCTTACTTAATCTTTGATGTGATTTTATTGTGGAATGAGAATTCGTTATTGCCATAATCATCAATTTTGAATTCTTCGAAGTAAAATCTTGTTCGATTATTGAGTGACAGTAATCATAGACATAGCGAGTGATATGCTCTGTTCTAAGCAACTTATCCACACGGCTCTGACTCTCTGGGCATATTTTGTAGCAAGTAATTTTCTTTTAGAACTCTTTTGTCAAGAACAATGATGGGATGGCTTTTTTGCCTAATTTCAGAAGGTAAAACATGATGATTTCATTATTCTGAAGAACAGGGCGTTTGGGTAACAAGGATTTTTCTTCTCAAACAGAGAAGAAAGCTCCCTAACAATGTCTTTAATTCAAACGGTACAATCTCAAAATGGAAACAAATTTTGTCTTCTCTTGAGGGCTAGGTCATGGTTGATTTTTTGCAGAATTGTCTCTTTCATATTAGCATTGAAGTGCACGACACGACTATATAGACGAAATAACTCAACTTTTTTCCTTTTCTTCTTTAATAATCGGGATATCGAGGGTCCCTCTTCTTGCATTATGTTTATGGTCCACTCTCGCGAGGCTACACCCGCTATGAAGCCACTTTAGGAGGCAACGAAGGTTCGATATGGATAAAAGTTTTTGTTAAATTATAAGTTTGGTCTCTGAACTTTTACAGTAAGTCTATTTACTTCAATATTCACAATAGGCTCTTGCACATTACGTTCCATCTTTTATGCTTTGCAACGTCTAATAAGGGATTTTTTGAGTTGCTTTCTTTAGTTTGAACTAATGTTAAAAGAATGCAACTGATTTTTCTCATCGAGTCATTATGACGAATGGTTCGGCGAGATCCAATGACATATACCATACCCATGAGCCTATTGGTATAGAATCTCTAGGTAATGTCAGGATGGATCAATAAAGAAGCTGATACCAATAGAAACCTGAACATAGGTTCTTCTTTCAGAAATTTGGGGACTGTTTATGCTCCTAAATGGAGTCTGGTTGCCATCTTTGTAACTTTATAAAGCTGGGTTGTAGCTTTTCATAATTTCACAAAAAGTCTTGCTAAAAGATACTAAAGAAAGTTTCAAAAAGTGACTTTTAACCACTGTCAAAGATTCACTTGCTCAATCTCGGATGCTCGGTGTCGATTATTAGGCAGTATTAGTGAAGTTAGCAATGGGACTTCCCTATTTTCTGCAAAAACCTTCTGTTACAAATCTTTACTCGAACTAGATAATTTATTTCACAAGTAGAATCCTGAAGTTCCGGTGCTGCATTTTCTCATTCTGTTCACCATATTAAACATCTTCCATTTCAGCATTTGTAGAGTGATAGGACTAGGAAGATCTGCCAACCCCCTCGACGATTCTTCCCTTTACGTGTAGCTCCTCTTAATCAGCAACTAGTTCGTCTTTTGTTCCTGCTTTTCGTATGGAAAAATCGATACAGTTTGTACTGTTCAACCTAATTTTCCCATTTACTTTTGTGGCTGCAGCTTGGAAAGTAATGTGAAGAGGAAGATGATGACAGTTGAAATAAGCGATTACTGTTTACTGCGGTTAGGGGGGCGGGCAGCTCTAGTTTCCTTGGCACTGCATCGCCCGGGTGGCTTTCGTCTCAGCTCGACGGTGAAGATGTGTTTTTTAATAGTATATTTCATACTGGATCCTGTTGATATTGTTTCTGTTAATTGAAGGGATCAAATTGTTGGGTTGTGGAGGGTTTAAGAATATGGTGGGGAAATGTAAGAGGTAGAGACTGGCTCCATCTCATTTCCTCGTCTTGGTATCTCAGAGGCCATACCTTTCAGGTAACTTGTATTGATTATAGAAAGTATTTAGCTGTCAAGGTTCTCAGAAACATGTTTCCCTTTTTTCCATGTCATCTTTTTGCTTTTTTTTTTCAAGAATTTTTTACTTTTAAATATCGAGCCTCGCCCTCGTTTGTTGAAGGTTCGTGTCATGAGACGGATATTTGTATTCTCATGTTTGTTTTGTGGGAATGTAGGATACACGAGTATCTCAAAATGTCTGGGTATCTTATAATGCCCATACGGGAGGCATCTTACTTGTTTTAGATCCCTTTGAAACATGGGTTTCTGTGATTTTCATGGGAAGACAATCCCTGTTTACGTTTTTTACTCTACATTTTTTTTCATATATTTTTTTTATCAATTTTTTTTACTTTTATTTTTAATTTTATATTTAAATAAATATTAAAATACTAATTTTGTCCTTTGTACTTTCAAGTTTGGTCATTTTGATCCATGTACTTTCAAAATGTTTGTTTTGGTTCCTATACTTTCAACTTTGGTTTATTTTAGTTCTTGTAATTTCAAAATGTTCATTCTAAGTCTTTGTACTTATCAAGAGTTTTTAGTCCCCTAATTTTATTTTTTAATCTCATTTTTTCTATCACAGCTTCACCACGACGTTATAATCAATATATTTTTTAAAATGTTACTCTATATTAAAGAGTTTTTGTTATGTGTAAAATTTGTGTCAAGATTTTGCAAAGAGGAACTAAAATGATCTAAGTATATGAATTTAAAATAAACCAAAGTTAAAGGTATAGAAATGAACACTTTTAAATATTAGAACTAAAATTAATCAAAGTTGAAAGTACAGTATTTTAACTTTAAATAAACTAATGTACTTATTGTTTAACAAATAGTTTTATGTAATTAAGTATATTTATATTTTACATTTACATATAAAATAAATTTTAAGTAAATTATATAATATCTCTATTTATTTTTAATATTTAGATTGAATTATTACGAATACATATTTATTATCTTAAATCCAATAATTTTGAAACAACATTTTTTTAACGGCCAGTTTATATTTGATATTTTAATTTTTGAAAGAGTACAATTTGATAATATAATAAATAAATTTTATCTTAAATAACATTAATTATATAATTGTATTTTTTGAAAAATATTTAAGTTGAAAATGAATTTATATCTAATATTAATTACTTAAAAAAACTCTTATTAAGAATTATACTTAATAATATATAAAAATTAGTATATATGCCATTAATAAAAAAAATTAAAATATTAAATCATTTTAAAAAATCTAAAAGTAAATTATATTGAATAAATGTATAAATTATATGAATATTCGTAATAATATTTTTAGAACATTAATTAAATTTAAAATATTTTTAAAAATAAATCCTACAAAATAAATGAATGTTGATCATGTAAATATTCTCGAATATTCTTATAAATATTTTTACGAAAAGATCTAAAATTTTACATCTCCCAAAAAAAAAAAGAAAAAACAGACGCCCTCTAAAGATCTCTAGGTTGATGCATTTCTTTTTTCCAAACGTAGAGAGAGAAGTTGTAAAAATCCTGTCACCTTTATTCTAGAAATTGAGATGTCATTAGAAAAATATATTACTAAAGTTGTGCAGGGTTTATCTTAAGAATGGAAATTTCAAGGAGGGGTGATTTAAAAGATAATTATTTGTCTTTTGTTTTGTCCTAGCTTTCCCAGACTTCATTTTTTTTTTTAATGTTAATCTACTTAACCGACTAAGATATCTATCACTGACTAAAATGTCGTGAGTTCAAATCGTTACTCCTACCTATACTATAAAAATTTAGGTCATAAAATTAATTTTTTGATTTTCTTTAATGATGTTTACCAAATTGTAGGAATTGGAAAAATAGTAAACTTAGTAATCTAAAAGGAGTAATCTCGGGAAAATTTCTAGTCTCCCTATGTATAAGTTTCTCATGCTGCATCAATCTAAATTGTGTTAGGTGTAAAGTAGTTTTATATAAGTTTCTCACTCTCTCCCTTGATCAGCGAATCATCTCTCATATTAAATATTATTATATGTTATTTTTTTCTAATTTATTTATCTCATTCTCAATTTTCATTTCTTAAAATTTTCTCTCTCCAAACTAAATTTCTTAATTTATTTTCCTTTTTCATTGTTATTATTTTTTTAATAGACTTACAAATATCAAGTAATAAAACATGAATAATATATTTTTGTAGGTTAAAAAATATGTCAGGAATGTATTTACAAAAAATGTGAATTTAAAAAATGTAAAGAGTTCAACATAAGATACTTAGCGGTTTACTTTTTCCTATGGAGATGAATATACCCAAATTTTTTATGCAAAGAAAAATGAAAACGATAAAAAATGATTAGAACGGAATAGAAAAAAAAAGTACTGAGAAAAATGAAAAATAGATAGAAAAGTTATACATAATTTAAATGGTGAAGTGCAAATAGTTAAAATTCAAATCTTCTATAAAATGAAAAAGAAAGAAGAAATTTAGTTTGGAGGGAGACAAAGTCTAGAAATGAAAATGGAAAATGGAAAATGAGAATAAATAACGTTAAAGAGATAAATATAAATGAGAAAAAGTAAAATAAATAATCATGTATAATAATATTAAATAGAATAGAGAAGGTAAGATCAAATCAACACAACCTAAAACATATATCTCAAATCAAGCTGTGAATTTGATCCTCACTCCATATATTGTAAAAAAAAACGTTAAATCAAGAGATAATTAATAAAAAAATCAAGAGAGAGAAAGTGAGATGGGTAGAGTAATTTTGCCTCCAATTGTATGGTCCCACATAAAATTTATATATATTTTTATTTATATAATGGTGAAGATACCTCCATTTAAATTGTCATTGTGTGGATTGGGAATCGGCATGTCTCATTTAGAGGTAGTGTCGCATGGCTTTCCAATCGCTGATTTCACTCAGTATCCAACAGTCGTTTCAACATTTGGTCTTGAAGAATAAAACCTCGACTCGACGTTCCAAGATTTCGAGTTGATTTTCAATATATCATGATATCTTGAATGGAAGGGAAAAACAATATTTTCCTCCCGTCGAAACGTAGAAGGGGTTGACACATAGACATGTCGCCATATAATGATGCTACTAATAATTTTTCTTCTAATAAAAATTTATACCATTAGTTTTATTATAACATATTATAAAATTTATATTTATATTTAAATTTACTTTATTATTACTAATTAATATCAATAAATTTTTTAAATTAGAATTCATTACTATTAAAGGCTATCATAATAAATTTAATGATATTTTATATGAAATAATGGTTGTTATCCTTAAAAAAAAATTTAGTTGATATATTTTATTTTAATTATTCATTTTAAATAAATCATAATACTAACAAACATTTACTATCAATGATGTGGTAATAAACTAAATTAAAAGCTACTATTATTATAATTAAAAAAATTTAACACAATAATGTACACAGATTTAACAAACAATATCAAAGGAATTATAATTTCGATTTTAGAAAATTTTTTGTAAACAACATTAAATGAACAACATTCTCATTCCGATTGATTTTTATTCCGATTCATTGTCATTCTTTAACTCAACATGGCGTTAGTTTTTTTAATTTTTTATTTTATCATGTAATTTATTAAAGTCAAAATTACTGTATATTTAAAATTATTCATCCATGTGACTTTGAGGTGTCTAAATTAATTAACTTAAATGAAATTATTCAAAAACCAGAGAGAAAAAAAAAACAGCAGAAGAAAGGAAGGATAATTTGAGAAGAGTCACTAGATTTTGAACATTTTTTAAATACTAATTAGTTACCACATATGTAATTCACGGATTTATATTTAATTACATAATCATTTTTATAATTATTAGAATAATTTTTAACATTAAATATAAATAATATATTAATAGAATATTATACAATTTTATTTTATTCATAATTAAAATTAATTTTTAAACTTTCATTCAAATAACACTGTAATATTATAAAATTTATGAAGATTTATTAAAAATTATAATAGACTCTTACGATAAAAAAGGAGGGAATATTTCATTTTGTATTAAATACTTTTTATCTATTATTCATCTCAAATATTAGGTGACTTACTTTAAAAATATTTATAATTATATATTTATATTATTGTTATTAGGAAATAAGATAAAATAATTTTAAAATATGTTGAATTTATTACAAAATTTGAATCTCTAGAACATTGAATTAATAAATTTCAAAGTAAACACAAATATTCAAAAATAAAAATAATATTAATTATAAAAAATAATGAAAATATAACAGGTAAAAAAAAACCGAAACAAGAAACAAAAATTCTAGATATATACAAATTTGTTAAAATAGAATTTGTCCCACCTTGGAAAATAAGCATCTTTGTTAAACTACATCAAAATGAAATTGTATCATCTCAAACTAGATTTGAGATATAGATTTGACCAATCTCATGCAACTTAAAGGTGTGTCACGTATGTTTTGAACTACTTCAATTTAAAGTTTAAAGAGACCTTGAGAGCAATTGATTGAGAGACTAATAATAAAAAATAATGAAGTTCAAATGTCAGTGGAGGAAGAAAACATCATTTTATAGTAGATGTTGAAAAAAAATTAAAAAACTTTTTGAATTTCATAACTTATAAAATTATAATATTAATTAAAAGTAAAGGAAAAATCTTTACATCTAGTGTATTTATTATTGTTATTAACTCATTTATTAATTTACTACTTATGAATAATTATAACTGTTAATGACGTATTTTGTAAATTTAAAATTTGACAAGGGATAAAATAGTCTTCAAATATTTATATAGTATATAAATATATAAAAATTTTGTAATACATAGTAGACTATAGTTGTTGATAAATTAAATAACAACCTTTTAATCTGTACTTAAAAAAAAAATTTAAGTATTCAAACTTTTTAAATTTCATATAATTGTCCTAATTGATAAATTAACTTACTATTTATTATTGATAATTAAAGAATTTATTTACTATTTAGCATTAATTTTATATGACATGTTTTGGAAATTTATAAATTGAAGAAAGGTATAGTCTAAAATATTCTTCCAAAATCCTCACCTTTTAATAGACTAGTAAAATACACGTGCGTTGTGTTGTGGGCATGCTTGTCCAGGGTGTGTTACCCATGGCCGCATGTCCAAACCATCCTCACCACTCGCTTTCCTTTCATGTCTTTAAAGCTTTCT